GTGTGTGTGTGTGTGTGTGTGTGTGTGTGTGTGAGGGAATGTACATCCACTCCGAGACAGGACAGCGGAACAACTTTGACAGTTCATGAAGGTCAGAGGAGAAGGGGGACATTTAAAAAAATCTCAACCTGAGGACATGCTTATTGACTTTAGAGAGAGGGAGGGAGAGAGAGGGAGAGGGGGGGAGAGAGAGAGAGAGAGAAAGAGAGAGAGAGAAACATCAATGTGAGAAAGACACATCAATTGGTTGACCCCCACACACGCCCAACCAAGGCTGGAGATCAAACCTGCAACCCAGGTACGTGCCCTTGACCAACAATCAAAACCTGAGGCCCTTCAGGGTGTGGGCTTATGCTCTGATCACTGAGTGACACTGGCCAGGGCAAGACTATTCACTTTTAAAGTTTTGGGGTTTAATTAATTTTTAGAGAGGAAGGGAGAGAGAAAAACATCAATCAGCTGCCTCCACAGCATGCCCCCTATAGGGAATTAAGCCCAAAATCCGGACATATGCCCTAACCAGGAATCAAACCAGCAAGCTTTAGGTGCATGGGACGATGCCCAACAAAATGAGCCATACCAGCCAGGGCCAGGGCTATCCACTTTTAACACCAGCCCTGATATAGTCTACTTTCTTCCCAAGAGCCATATTTTACAGAGAAGCAGAGTTCATTGCCTTATGGAAAGTAGTGCAGAAGAAAGGATGAATCAAGAAAAGCAGAGATGCCCTGCTAAGGAAGGCTGGGTAGCGGCAAGGTGCACTTTCCAGCTGATGTACCAATCCCCCATACCGGGCTCAGCAAAATGACACTCCTCTGCATATCTCAATTTCCCGGGTTATTTCTGAACAGTTGAAAACAGGAATGTTAAGTCCATAAATGCCAAGACTACTGTTCTTGTTCAAGTTAATCATTTATCCATCTAGGAATTGAAGAAACAACTTTGTACAAGTTTTGTATATATTTTCCTNACTACTGTTCTTGTACAGCAAGTTAATCATTTATCCATCTAGGAATTGAAGAAACAACTTTGTACAAGTTTTGTATATATTTTCCTCAAAATTATATTCACATGTTTTATAATCAGGTTTATTCACCTTACATATTGTCAATATTGCCTTCACCTTGAATAGTTTCATGTGTTGTTATATCCTTTCACTTTTAGTCTTAGAGGATTTTGAGAATAAAGCTGCTGCTGTCAATTATACTTGTTCTATGAGGCTTCTTTTATGTACATGCTCCCTTCTGCTTCAAGTGTTCTACTTTGCTCCTTCTTTGCTGCAGTTTCATACATCTATTTCATACATCTATTTTACAGTGGTCACATCATTCACTCACTTGATGCACACAAAATCCAGCTATGTGTGCTCAGCCAGAGATAAAGACTTTAAAAAGCATCAGTGATTCTGCAAGTCATTCCATTTAAGAAGGGTATGCCCCAGAGAGTTGAAGTGTGAGGTGTGTGATGCAAACCTGCCATTCCCACAGTCTCAAATCCTGGGTCTTTCAGAGTATGAGCATATCTACGTATTGTTGATCATTCTATAGTGTTGAAAAACTCAGCCTCTACAACACAAGCCTACTACCTCAGCTGGCAATCAACTTGAGAATCAGCCCAGCCACCTGTTCAAACACTAGACAACAAAGTAAATACTTGACCTACTGAGAACTGATGGGACAGTTTCCAATTCTGATCATGACTTCATTGGGATTATTGAAGGGGGATTTCATTACATGTGATTTTGCCTTACTAACTTTAAATTTAAGGTTCCCAGTTTCATGTAGGAGGTGGGCTGTGTCACTGCAGTTTCTTCTCCATGGCTCACTCAGCCTTCACTCAGGCATCTACTATGGCCACAGGGTATTCATAGTGCTATAATTCAGAAGTGGAACTGGGAGGAAAGACCTACACTTGAGTTCTACAGTAAAGTTGTTTTTTAAATTGGCTGACATTAAATTTGGACGTGGGTTGGAAAAGACTCCAACCTAATTACAGCCTTTCACCTCAGAACTTTCAAATTAAAGGGTGTTAACAGAGTCCCATGTTTCCACTAAAATCATCCAGCTTTCTTGGGCCTAGGAAATAAAGGCTCTCTGCTTCTTCATTTGTTTGATTTGTATATCAGTTCTCTGCATTTAAGTGAGATTCCTTAGAATTTCTGGTATAAGGGTAGCAACTTTCCCTAATTTGCAGTGTTTCTTCAGTTTTTTTCCATTTTATGTGAGGGGGAAATTGGACAACATATGCTGTCTTATCTGGCATTCCCTTACTTTCTTAATAAGGAATACATTTATATATAATAGTAAGCATGTTCAGTTAATATATAGAAAAATGGGCAAAATAGCAACTACAGCTGAAAAGATGATTTAGGTTGAGAACGGATTTATAATGTCTCCTAGAAAAACAAAACAATTCTTAAACTTTTTTGCCAAATACATAACACAAAGGCAAGTCCCTGCTAGATGCAAATTCATAGCTGGATTCATAATTTGAGCTACATTTAACACCAAAAGGGGAAAATATGACCAAACACAGTAAATTACATTTTTTAAACATAGAAATACCATCAAGATGTCCACAATACTTTTCATGGATCATACAGAAACACTCTTAACCTTCTGCAGATGGTAGACAGTTCTAAGACCTTACTGGTGAGCAAGTTCAAATGCTTGGTTGGATATTCACCAACACTCTGACGCAGCTACAGATTTGCTTGTGGAGTGAAGTATAAATAACATGGCAGGTGGCAGACATGTCCACTGGCATTCAGCCCAGCTACCCTTCTCTAAAAGCTCCCCTGAATCACTATAGTTAGAAGCCTGAAATGACATTTCCCAGACTGAATTCCTATTAGGTTCTGCCAATGGTACCTACACCAGATTAAAAAGCATGAAAGGATCTATTCTGTCCCTGGTGATACCAACAACAATGTATCTGTAGCTCCTGCAGGGGGCCATAAAGCAGGTAACCNAATCTATTCTGTCCCTGGTGATACCAACAACAACAATGTATCTGTAGCTCCTGCAGGGGGCCATAAAGCAGGTAACCTGGGGCTACGGTAGCAGCTGCATGAGAGTGGGTATAGAAGACACTGGGCTCAGAATAGTGCTCACTCTTGCAGGGTCAACAGCTTTCCCTCACCACTAGAAACATTATCTTCCCCTTTTACTCTTCTATCCCTTCTAATAATTTGTCAACTAATTCCCTAAATCACACCCGTCTCTGTTTGAAATACCCAAGTGGGTTTCTATCCTCCAGATAGAACACCAACAGATAAACTCAGGTAAAATACGCAATTCATCCCTATAGTCATGTTAAAAAATGCAAAAGGGGACACAGAATTTGGTGTAATTGTATGTTTCTGAACATATTTCAAAGGAATTCCTGAACATTTAATTTTTTTAAATTGATTTTTAGAGCAAGAGGAAGGGAGAGGGAGAGAGAAACATGGATGTGGGAGACAAACATCGATGGTTGTCTCCTACACAAGCCCTGAGTGGGGATTGAACCAGCAACCTGGGTATGTGCCCTGACTAGGAATCGAACCCATGACTCTTCAGTGCACCAGACAGTGATCCAACCAACTGAGCCACACTGCCCAGGGCTATTTCTGAACATTTCAGCTAGAATGAAGAAGAAAAAAACCCAGCCCAGCTGGCATGGCTCAGTGGCTGAGCGTCAACCTATGAACCAGGAGGTCACAGTTCAGTTCCCGCTCAGGGTACATGCCTGGGTTTGGGCTTGATCCCCAGTGGAGGCATGAGGGAGGGAGTGAATCAATGACACACTCTCATCATTGATGTTTCTGTCTCCCTCTCCCTTCCCCTCTCTGAAATCAACAAAAGCCTATTGAAAAAAAAATTTTTTTAAAGAAAATAAAAAAAAGAAACCCCCAAAAGATTTGAGATATAGAAGAGAATAGCAAACAAAGAAATAAGTATTTCTGTATATACACTGACAAACTAGTCACTTTTCTAATCCCCCCTGGCTTTATTGAGATATAGCTGACATTCACTTTTCTAATTTTAAAGTCTTACCATGTAAGGTTAAAAACAACAAAAATATTACACAACTGCACTATAT